AAAGGAAGTGGAGGCTGGGAGGAACAAGAAACGGGAAGTGTTCCCGGTGATCCAGCCCTACAGTCTCCTTCTGGGGCTGGTAGTGGTGGGGGGACTGGGGTGTCTAGTCCTTTTCCGGCCCCTCCCCACCCCCCAGCGTTACCTCTGACCCAGCAGCCTCGGCCGCCAGGAGACCCTGTGCTGGGTGGGGTGTTATCTGTCAGTTGCATACTCAGGGATTGGGATGGGATGGAATGGGATGGACAAATTAGTCTGCAAAGAGCCGATAGTAAACACCGTAGGCTTTGCTGGCCAGATGGTCTCTGTGGCAACAGCTCCCGCCTCCGGTTGCAGCTGGAGAGCAGCCACAGGCAGCACGTAGATGAATGGGTGTGACTGAGTTCCAAGAAGACATCTTATTTACAAAAATCGGTGGTAGGCAGGCTTTGGCCCTGGGGCCAGGGTTGGCTGACCCCTGACTTCACATATTGAGCAGAGCTGGTGCCTCCCCCGCTCCCTCCTTTCCAGGACCTCAGATGCACCGAGACTGACCCTCCTCAGTCATGATGCACTGGCATCGTCGGCCCATGAATAGCCTTTTGTGATGGCACGTGTATTTTGTAGACAATATAATGAACAACTGAGAGCCCATCACCCAAACCCAAGATCTGGGCTGTTTGCTGAAAACCAGCTTCTCTCTGTGTGCCACTTCCTTTCCTGTGCCCTGTTCCTCCTCAGTCGGGATTGCAGACCTGCTGAACGAGGGGTTGTCCCTGCACTTTGCTACACACACGCATGCACGCACACACACACGCACACACTATATTGTTCAGTTTGACTTGTGCTTGAACCCTATAAAAAAAGGTACCATATAACATGTGGTCTTTTGGGAGCTCTTCTGGATCCAACATAGTTAATATATCCGTGTCACACGCAGGTGTCATTTTTCCCAAGGTGACACATCATCACGCGACTGTCTCAAGCCCTGTTTCCTTAGCTGCTTCTGTTTTGGGCCTGTTCCCCAAAAGAGAACTACATCCCTCCTGCACTTGGATCAAAAGTGCCTTCGGAAGGTCTGAACACGGCATCTGGGACACGGGTGTGGGAGGGGTCCCGTTCTCACTTTTCTCCCCATTCTCATCCCCCCCTTTTTTGGCCCTGGGTTGACCATATGCTATTTTTCCTTTACAAATACTGAGTGGCAGACACACTGCCCCGCTTGCTGGAGGTGAGCCGTGAACAACATGCATGTGGGAGTCTAGAGCTTAAGTAGAGTATCCAGGTGACAAGTGATGACACGACAGATGGTGCTGGAGGAATACTCGGGGATGTGGGGCCACTGGCCCGGCTTCATGTCTCTGAGCATCCAGCCCACAGCCCCCAGACGTGTCCACTTGTACGAGACGGTAATGGCTACATCAGTAGCTTGAGTGAGGAACCTTCTGCCAGCTCACGTCTCCGTCACGTGGGTCCCCGCTGTCTGTGGCCTTTCCATTTTAGGTAGAGAAAATGTTCCATCCCGGCCCGATTTCTTTCTCTCATCTGCTTCCAGAATGTCACGGGGCCAGGGCTGCAGAGCCACTCCACAGTTTGATCTGAGCTCAAAAAGATGAAGGTGGAAGTCCTGGGGCCAGGAGAGCTTTGTCACTCCCCAGCCAGATGAAGACTCCTGGCGGGGAGAGGTGCTGGCTCCCAGCCAGGGCTCAGCTGGCATTCCCGTCTGTCTCTGTGGGGTCACCTCAGTCTGAGAGGGTGGAGGGGGTGTCGTGGGATCACCAGGTTTAAAGCCGTGGCCGCGATGGGACCCAAACGTTGAGCAATGAGGTCTTCCTGACTCGGCCTGGAAGCCGCAGTCAGCTTCCAGGACACGAGATGACGGCGCAAGCCTGCCTTTGAGTGTTTTATTTTTGTTTCCACTTTCAAAGGTCGTGTTTGGTGGCCCACATGTTCTCGGGGAGGAATCGCCCCTTCTTGGCCACCCTTGAGCTAAAATAAAAGGCGGTGTGGGGGCTGGGCAGTGAGCCGTGGTGGAGGGTGAGTCATCTCTGCCTGGACAGTCGCTCCCACGCTGTCCCCCGGCAGCAGGAGGAGACCCCTGCCCTTCCTACCTGTCCTGCAGAAGGCTGGAGCAGGGTGGGAGGGGTGCCACTTGCCCAGGCCGTGGTGTGGGTGATGAAACAGGCCTCCAGGGCACCCTTCCCCCCCGAAAAAGCTGGCCCTCCCATGATTCCCAGTGGAGATATGGCGGGTAACTGCCGTCTCTTGGTGGGATCCAAGGGGTGGGCAGCCCCTGTCTTCACTCCATTGGTCCCTTTGACACAGCTGGATCATGGTGCCGAGGGCCCTGGGGCTGCGCCACCTGAAAGGTTCCCACTGAGTCCTGCTGGGGGGTGAGGACCTGGACGTGGTGGCTCCATGCAGGGTCTTCCGTCTCCCTGAAACGGGCTCTTTCCCTTTGAAACTGTATCTTCTAGAACTTTCCCCTGGTTTTGTTGTTCTGCCCCACGTTTGGGGGCAGCTTCCTCTTCCCGTTTCACTCTGTGTCCTCTGCTCCCTTCCTCGCAGGCCCGCCTCTGAGCCCCTCCAGACCTGGGGCCCTCAGGAAGGCCTCCGTGGCCGACCTGCTGGGGGACTGGTCCCATCTGCCCAAGGCGTCTGCAGGGGAAGGCGGCGCTGGTGAAGCCACGAGGTCCGCTGTCCACAGGCAGTGCAGGCCTGCCGTGACCCACAGGTGCCTGGACACGAGACACAGGGACAGCAGTTCACCCGCAACGACGTGGCCACTCCTGCCCTGGCAAGCAAGGGCTGTGGGCGCCATTGATCTTGGATGTGACCCCACGTTCCATGCATGCTGCTCTGAGGGTCCTCGCACCTGTCCCTTCCCCGCCCAGCCAGGTGTGAGATCACAGTGCCTATGATAGTACCCCGAACCTCAGAAATATAAAATAATGGGGAAATAGGGTTTTTAAAGTTGGGTGTGGGGTCAGGGGACCCTCTGACTTGCAGTGGTTTTTCCAGTGAGCAGAAGATGGCCGCAAGGTGTGGGCGGCATCTTGCCTCCACCCGCCGCCCTCTGTGACGGGACGGATGGGATCCGTGTAGAAGCGCAGCCATCTCGGACAGCTCCTGCCGCAGCCTGGCCGCGGCTGGAGGTGTGGCGCTGGGTGGGCGGCACCCTGCCCGCTGCCCACTCTGAGGGGCAGGTGGGCTGCCACCTGGAGGCCTGTTTGCAAGGCTGCACTAAGGAGGAGCAGCTGAGAAACCAGGGCATGAACTGCCCAGCCTGCTCGCTTCAGTTCCCTCCGCCTTGGAAGCTGGGAGTGTGGGCCCTGGGATCCCGATTGCTTCATCCCAGCTCCCGTCTCCTGAACAATGCAGTGGGTGGGGGTCAGCCCAGAGACCACAGGCCTCTGCGTCCCATGCCCGGTCACTGCTGCTGCACTGTCCTTGCTGCCTGGGACCTGAGCCACGGGCCCGGCATGCATGTATTCGCTCCCCAAAATGAGGCAGCCTGGAGGGGGAGACCTGCCGGGGTCACAGTCCACCAGCAGCAGCATGAGGACAGGACCCTCGTCTGCTGTCCCTCACTTCAGGTCTGTCCATCCAGTCCCTTCCGCAGCCTCTGGGTGGGGAGGGGTCCCAGAGGGGTGGCTGGGGGTTCTCTCAGCGCCCCTCCAAACTCCCCGTTTCCTGCCCGGCCCAGCCTTGCCCCTGCCCCCACTCCAGGCTCCAGGCCTAGGGTTTGCAGGGCTGAGCTTGGCTCCTCCGCGGGGTCTTGGCGGAGAGAGTGCAGAGCAGCAGTTCCCTGCACAAAGCCGCACTGTTCTCAGCAAATCCTCCCAGCATCGGGGTGCATTTTTTTCAAATGATTCAGCAGCACGTGAATGGGAAGGGCCCAAGCCCAGCGCTTCGGAGACCATGACCAAGGCCTCTGGCATGAGATCCCGCTGGGCCCACAGGGAGAGGGGAGGGAGGGTGGCAGGGCTGGAGTTGGGGGTCCTAGCAGGGTCCTGGGGGGTCGGGAGGGTGGCTTGGCAACAGGACAGTGAATGCTGCAGCTTCTCTGCGCCCTGCCAGAGCGCGCTTAGAGACATCTCCTCCTGCTCCCAGGGGGCCCAAGCAAATGGCCAGGAAATGGAGATGGGAGAGCTGGTCTCCATGGAGACAGGGCAGCCAGTGGACAGCCGCTCACATGTATGTGCCAGAATCTGGAATAGCACTGGGCAGGCCTGGCAGATCCCCAGGTTCTGTGCTTGTGGGCTGCGTGGCCTGGGGCTGGGGGGCACTGCTGTGTCCTGTTCTCTGTCCTGCAGCCCCCACCCCCCACCCCACCCTCAACTCCCTAAAAAACACATCTGCTCTGAGCAGTTGTCATTCTAGGCATTTTTGACTCCGGCCTATCACGCTGGCCGAGTCTTGCCCTCACCCTGGACAGCACAGCCCTGCCCTGACCTCTGTTGGCTCCTGGGGTTGGTGGGGAGGTTTAGGGGACCTGAGGGTGGGTCTGGTCTTTCTCAGCTGCTGTGAGGATGGAAGAAACCCTTCGGTTCTCTGCCGCATCACAGGGCTGTTTTTAATTACTTCATTTCCCTGAAAGCAGCAAACTTGGAGGAGGTCTGCTCCACCCCTGACCGAAAGGGGCCTGGCGTTGAGGCCAGGGAAGGCAGAGCTGAGTGTCTGGGGAGAGCCCCCACGCCCGCATCCACCAGGGGTACCGAGGAGGGTGGGGGCTGGGTGGACAGTGAGACCAGAGGGGCAGGTGGGGCTGGACGCTGCCACGGCCTTCTGGGTGCCAAAGCTGATGCCACGCATTCCTTGTGACATCTCCCAGGCTGCTCAGCCACACCCCGTGTCCACGTGCAGTTCTGTAGGGAGGGGCGTGGCCCTGAAACCTGGGGACTCAGAGCAGTCCTCAGTCCATGGGAGCACGACGCGCTTTCCGAATCACCATCCACCTGCCGCCTGCCCCTCCAGCCCATGAGTCTACCCCTGCCCCACCTCAGAGAAGCAGAAGCAGCCGCATCACAAAGGGTCACATCTTCACTCTGCCCCCCACAGCCCACTGCGATGATTCAGTTACAGGCAAGCACTAGGGGTCCCTCCGTAATCCCAGGCAGGGCTCTGAAAAATAAAGGCATCTCGTTACAGCTTTCGTAGGGCAGAACTGCAGCCTGTGCATCTGGGGTGTCGCTGCAGGAAGTGGGGCACCCCTCGCTTTCCTGACTCTGACCTTGAGGGTCAGTGGTGGCTGGAAAGGGGGCTCCCCCGTCCACGCTCCTCTGGGACTTGGGACAAGTTCATCCAAATTCAAAGGCTAAGGGGCCTCGGCCAGGTGGACCAGCCCTGCCATGTCGCTGTGTCCAAAAGGGACAGGAGACCCTCTTCGCAGGTGGCTGCCGGGGATGTCACTGCACGTGTTAAGTGAGGGCTTGGGCAGCACTGTGATTTGAGTGTGTGGATGTTGACACTAGCGGCACCCCTTCTCTGGCGAGTCTAGACAAGGGCGAGGAGCCCTCTAGCCCTCCCCCAGTACCCCGGCAGTGCAGAGCACCCCTGGAGGGTGGGCGTCTGAAGTCCCACCTGGAGTGAGTGGGGGCTGGGTTTTATCTGGGGCGACATCGATGCTTATGGTTGGTGTGTGATTCTTCCCAGAGACAAGGACATGGGCCAAGTGACCCTCAGAGGACACTGGCAGTGTGGGCTGCAGTGACCTCATTTACATCTAAGAAATGGGAGTCCTCAGCCGCCCCTGTAACCGACCATACGCAGTGCCCCCCTTCCAGGCACAGCGGCAGAGCGCCCCCCACTCTGGATGGGGGCCAGGAGGGTCTTTGGCAAATGTGCTGGCCAATCAAAGGCCCCCCCACCCGCCCCCGACAGTGAACGGCTTTGAGAGCATGTGTCCCTCACCGGAGGGACCACTGGGCATCTTCCGTAGGGCTGTGAGCAGGGTTGGCACTGTCCCTGCTAGCACCCCGTCTCTGGGCGTCCCTCCCAGGTCTGGGCGTGGGCTGGGCTCGGAGGGGACAGTGGGCCCTGCTGCCGCTGAGCCAGTGTTGCCGGCCTGAGTCAGTGCGCACATGTGAGGCTCAGATGGTTCGGGGCCGGATTTTGAACTTATATTTAGACAGGTGTTCTTCCGAATCCTGGAGTTTCCCGCGTCTCTTCTGGGCAGACCCCTGGCTTTCCCTTGCTCTGCCTGGGCAGACCCTGGGGGCTGGGGAGCTAGGGGGTGTTGGGCATGTTGGGACAAGGCTGTGAATGTGTGAAAGTCAGGGTCCTAATGCCCATGAGCTCACCCGTGCTCTGGGGCTGGGAGCCCAGCCGGGCCGAGTGGTCCCCTGGGGGAAGGTCCTGCGGGATGCCGTCACACACGTAGCACGTGGCCGTCCTCCAGGAGCAGCTGGCCCGTGGCAAGATAATCAGGGTCAGTCGGTGAGCATGAAATACATGACCTTCCGAGAGGCAGTCGTCCTTCGTGGTCCGGCCCCCCCACGGACGATGCTCCTGGCTTGTCCTTAATCTCCGTTGCTTCCCCAGTACGATCTGAAGATACAGGGGGGCCCGGATGTTGGTGGGGGTGGGAGAGTGGCTTGACTCGACTTGGGCTGGTCGAGTGTGTTGCTCTCCTGGGGCGGTCCTGGCCACACCGTGTGCTGGGGACACCCCAGGTCTCCTGCAGCCCCCTCCCCGTCCCCTCCCCCTGCACCGCGGCCCTGCCCGGCCTCCGTGGGTTTGGCACGGGCTGTCGTCATCTCTCGGAGTCTGAACGCAGCCTGTGTTCCTCGGACTGCCGTCCGCAGCCTCGACTTTCCACCCGCCCATTCTTTTCCGTCCCAAATCTGGCCGGGTGGACGAGGGATTGTTTTTGCAGGCTCCTCGCGGGGGAAGTGACATCATCTGGTGTCCATGGCCCGAGGGGTGGGGCCGGGGGCTCTGCGGTTGCGTGTGCTCTGAATTAAGTCGTTGGTTGTGCATTCCAGTAGCCAACATCTGGCGGTGGATTCATCAGCCAGTGTATCACCCTTGATCTCAAACCCAGATGTTGTGTTAGCGGCAGAAGGGAGAGAAGGAAAAACAAAATCCCAGCAGCCCAGGGAGAGGCCGTCGTTCTGGGGCGCAGAGCAGACAGAACAGGAATCTCCATGAAGGCTCCCTCCTGCGCTGCCTCTGGTTCCTGAGGGGCGGTGGCGGGGCAGAGCTGCCCGCTCGTGGGCAGAGGGGGGGCAGGACGCAGGCTGCTTCCTCACCCCAGGGCCGAACGCCATGCCCAGCCCGTGGTAGGCATTCAGTAGACACGAACCCACGGCTTGATTTTAAGTTCTTCCCAGATTCTTGGGGTTTCCTTGCTTCTCACCAGCCCTGTCCTTTAAACGATCTGGGCCTCGGAGGGCCCATCCCTTACCTGGAGTGGCCTCGAGGCCGGAGCTGTAGGTGACGCCTGGCACGCTGAGGGCAGGAAACGCATGTCTGAGCCCTTCCCGCCTCCTCTGTCGGCCGCTGGCAGAGAGCAGCGGCGCTTCTCTGTCTTCCTGTCCGTTGTCCATCTTCTTGCCCCGGATGGATGCTCCTTGAAGGCAGGGCCTGCTACTGAAGGACTTGCCACACCTCACCCTCTTCTCCCCGTGGGCAACAGGAAGGGACTCATGCTTTTAGGGTTTGTGCTTGAAAGGGAACCTGCCCCCGAGCTCTGAGCTTGGCATGGAAGACAGCCCCCACTGGCTAATGCACCAGCAGAAAACTGGGGAGCAGGAGGGTGTCCATGGTGGGGCTGGCTGGGGTCCACCGTAATGCTGCCCCAGCGCTCTCTCCCTCCCTCCCTCATGGGACCCGTGGGTCTGTTTCCCCTCAGGTCTGCTAGCTGCCACTTGCCCGTGGGATCCTCTAGCTGTGACAGATTCACTTGCCAGCCCTGTGTGTATGTGTATGTGTGTGTGTCTCCCGCCCCATGCAGCATGGTGCTGAGCCCAGATGGCACCTTCTGCCCCCAGCAGGCCCGCGGTGTGGATCCCTCACACCTGTGCAGACAGGTGGATGCCAGCCTCTCTCCCTTGTGGCTGGAGGGCACTGATGCTTTGGGGAAAGTTTCTGTAGAGCTGGGCCTTCTCTTGTCTCTTGCTGCCTTCCTTCCTTCACACGCTCTCTCATTTTGTAGTGTCGAGGAGGTTCCCACCCCAAAGAGTCTGAATTCCTGCCCTGCATGGCTGAGCCCAGTTGGAGACCCTCCCCGCCCCACCACCCGCTTCCCTGCAGAGAGCTGGCGGCCCAGATGCCGGTGAACATTCTAGTCTTAACGTCATAGGTCAACCCTGGGTTCAACCAATCTCTCCTTTTCTGACAATTTTTAAAAGGCAGGTGTGTGGGCTGTAGCCCCAAAGCAGGTGCATTGGGAAACGGCATGAGACCCAGACCCGGGGTCCGTGCTGCCCAGGGTGGGCTCTCCGGACCTGAGCAGTGAGCGTGGTGCAGGCGTCTTCACCCTGCGCCCTGGGGGTCGGAGAGCTGGCGCCAGGCTTCTCCGTGGTGGCGCTTCGTTCTGCCGTCCTGAGCTCCACATGCGTCACAGCCAGCACTGCCCGTCCCGCACCCCCGTCCAGCAGTCCTCCCCAAACCCGCTGCTGGGCAGGTACTGGCGGTGCGGGTGTCTCCGTGCCAGACGCGAGCAGCTGAGTCCCAGCGAGGTCAGGGAGCTTCCCTGAGACCACATGGCGGGAGGGGCTCCAGCAGGATGTGGCCTCTGTGCTGCCCTCTTGAATAACGACCCAAACTGCCTGGGAGCCTTAAAAGCTTTTGTAAGAGAAAGATGTGTGGGCCTCAGTGCATGGAATGGAATGGAGTCTCTTGGCTGTTTGGGGTCAGATTTTGCTTATTTTCCGATGACCACAGTGTGTTTATCAAACATCTGTGTTGCGATAAGCGTTGTGCAGAGTCCTGGGCCTCGGAAAAGCGTGCAGAACTGAGTGTGCCGTCATAAAATCCAGCATCTTTGCCTTTCCTGGAACTGTTGTCTCCTTTGGATGCCCCTGGTCCGTTTGTACCATGGGCTGAGGACGATACTGTGGAAAAGCAAACGTGACAGGGCTAATCTGATGTTGGCTGATTTGCATAAACACTTTTTTGTGCCATGTTGCAGTGAGGTACATAGATCAGACAGGTAGTAAGAGGGACCAAAGACAGACCGGACCTGTGCTGCCGCCCAGGTATCTCAGGCTCAGCTCAGCAAATACTCAGTGAGCACTGCCTGTTCTGTGGCAGGAACGGAGCCTCTGCCTGTTAGAAGCTCCCAGGGCCCAGAGCCGATGGGGGTGCAGGTGTTCACAGCAGCACGATCGGGGGATGCAGAGGATACCGAGCGCTGCAAGAGGACAGGACTTCCCAGAGGGAAGGTGGGGAAGGGCTATTTCAGCTGGGTCTTGAAGGATGAATAGAAGTTCTCCAGATGGAGAGAGAGAGGTGGCATTCAGGGCAGAAGAAACTTGCCTGTCTAGAGGTATGGACACCCCGGGCAGGTTCAGGTTCAGGGAGTATTATGGGCTGGTGGAGCAAACAGCAGGAGCTGGGGGAGGGGTGGGGACGTCGAGGCAGCTGAAGTAGTCACGGGCTGGCACCAGTTGCAAAGGGTCTTCTGTTTTCGACCAGGGCAGTGGGCGGCCACATTTGACCCGGAAGGACCGTGATTGTGGAAGGTGCTGGGGGTGGGAGGAGACGCAGGGAACAGGTCACTGGCTGCCGAGGCCGAGGCCCACCGTCTGGAGTTTCCTAGATGTGGCTTTGTAGGTGGGGGCCTGGCTCAGCCTGGGAAACAGGAACCTGCGGCCTCGGCTCGTCGTGACTCAGCTCCGACGGAGGAAGAATGGGTTTGGGCCCGGGCGGGGCGCTGGGCTGTGGTGTGGGGCTCTGGTGCCCGGCTGGGATCCGGAGAGCACTGGGGGGTTCCTGGGGGCACGGGGGGGATCCACGTCCCTGCTCTCCGGGAGACCGCAGCCCTGGCTGGTGGTTCTAAGAGTCCAGCTGCCTGCTTGGGGTGGAGGGGGATTGGAGGCTCTGCTAAGCCTGGCTCTGTCTGTTATTTCTCTGCCCTGCTCACACCCACACTCACAAGACACTCATCCGGAGTGACCCCGAACAGCCAAATCTTGGCGGACAAAGCTTTTAAAGCCATTAAGACAGGCTGTGCCACCAGCTGAGAAGCCTGGAAATGAAAGATAGGGAGGACTCCGCCCAATTGACAGCGGGAACTGCTGTCAGGGTACGGGGTGGAGCAGAGTCCAGGCTTAATTGCTAGTAGGAAGCCCTGGGGTGCATGGCCCACGAGCAGCCTCAGGCTCCAGGGAACATTCCAGAACCTTCCCAGCCCGACCTCGTCCCCTCTCCTTCATCTTGTGTCAAGGTCCGGGATCATCCTTCTTCCTGTTTGGTGTCTCCCCTCGGCCTCTGTCCCTCACGTCTGCTAGTGGTGCCCTTAAATGTCTGCTCTCTCCGTTCGAGTCCCTGTGGGTTAGCACATCCTGGCCCTCCCTCCATCATGGCTCTGATGGAATATGTGTTATTACAAATAACCATCCCCAAGACGTTTTTCAGGGACACATTGAGGACAGACTAGGAGGCTAGGAGGCTAGACGGACAGGCCTTTTGGATGTAAGACCTCCAAACCTAAATGTGACAGGGCCTCTTGTAGGTGGGTAACCCCCACCTGCCTTGTCTGCCTTCCGCCTGAAAAAGCCTGTTTGCCAACAGGCTATGTATGGGAGGAGGGCGGTGGCGGGACTTCACCATCCTTACCTGCGGGGTCAGGATTGCAGGCCAGTCCTTTTCCTAATCTGCTCCCCAGCCGCTGATCCGTACACATTGGAGAGAGTGAGGACGGGCCCAGAGCCCTCCAGCGTGACATCGGCAGCGAGCTTTGCTCCC